CGCGGCTGTCGTCAGTTCGCGCCGGGATTTCTCCGGCCGTCGCCCGGAGTTCCTCCGGTCGCTACTTGTCGCAGGTGTCACGGCAGCATTTTTTTCAGTGGTCATCGCGGGTGTCGCCACTTCGCGCCAGGACTCGTCGCGGCTGTCCCCACGGCCTTTTTTCCCCTACTCGTCGCGGCTGTCACCAGTTCCCGCCGGCGTTTCTCCAGCCGTCGCCCCGACTGCCACTGGTTCCCCCTTGGCCGCTGCCCATAACCGGTCCTGCGCGGAGGCACCTGGTTTCTGTTGGGCCCCACGCGAGGACCGACATCGTGTCCTGTGTGTCCTCCATTCCCCGCCGCTGCCTGTGCCCATTCCCTGCCGCCGCCTGTGCGCCCATTCCCCGCCCCCGTTTTTTCGGTAGTCGTCGCGGGTGTCGCTAGTTGTCGCGGCTGTCGTCAGTTCGCGCCGGGATTTCTCCGGCCGTCGCCCGGAGTTCCTCCGGTCGCTACTTGTCGCAGGTGTAGTGACAGCATTTTTTTCGATGGTCATCGCGGGTGTCGCCACTTCGCGCCAGGACTCGTCGCGGCTGTCCCCATGGCCTTTTTTTCCCCTACTCGTCGTGGCTGTCACCAGTTCCCGCCAGCGTTTCTCCAGCCGTCGCCCCGACTGCCACTGGTTCCCCCTTGGCCGCTGCCCGTAACCGGTCCTGCACGGAGGCACCTGGTTTCTGTTGGGCCCCACGCGAGGACCGCTGTTTCCTTTAGTAGTAGTAAAAAAGTTGATTGACTGCATGGAATAAGCCAGCCGGATTTTCTCCCCTCTCAATTTTCGTTACCGAATTTTTATAACTGTTTTTTTTTCAAATGTGATCCGATGGAGCACGGATCAGATATTAAACTGAGCAGAACAGATACTACACTTAATCTTAGCCATCTAGCCCGATAAATTTTATTTTATTTTTTTATTTTTTTTCTTTTAATTTGGACCATTTCTCGATTTGTGTAAGTCATCCTTGTGCAGGGGCCATGCTAATCTTCTTTCTCTGTATCGTTCCAATCTTAACGTATGTGCAAGGAATATGAGCGAGAGGGATAGACAGAAATCCAAGTTGCAAAATCACGAAGTAGCCCAGATAGTCATGTACCAACCAGAGAGCACAGTGCACCAAAATTCCATCCAAATAAGAGCAATACAATGAACTAGAGTGCCAAGGCCGACGCTCTCTGGTCACACCAACACTGTATCCAATGTCACTCGTACTGTCTGGCGCCCAGCGCCCAGCGCCCAGCCTACACAACTCAGCCTATCTATCCTATCTACGTTCATGGGACTGGGTCACATCGAAGTTGAAGACCAATGTACGTGACGTCATCTCCAATGCCGACCGCCAGCATACACCAGGTACGTTCTCTCTTCTCCCCTCATCACACCTTGATCCCCTCTGCATGCGCCTCCTACCCAAAGACCACCATCGCCATCACCTGCCTGCGCCCAGCAGCCCGGCTATGGCCGCCGTGCGCCCACTGCCTCAGCAGCGCCCCTCTCACCTCAGCGCCCGTGCGCGCATCTGGCCCACAGCGCTAATGCAGCTGCTCATGTGCGAGTGCAGCAGCGTGGCCGCATTGCCCAACAAGCCCAGAACGCCCTCCTCTGGGGCACACACTTTCCTTTATGGAAAGTGTGCCTGCTGCTGGCTGGCCTGGCCAGGCGTGTGGCAGGGGCCCAGTAGCTTGACTCTGGCCCCAAGTGTCTGCTCCCAGGCCCAGTTTCAGATACTGGCCTGGGCCTCGTGCAGTGAGGCACGTTCCGGCAACCACCCAGCCTCCAAGTGTTCGCAGCATTCTCATTGGCTCGCGGTGCATGTGTGACGACAACGCTGCTTTCTCATTGGCCCGTGGCCAGTCCGTTATGTGTCGGCCTCACACAGCATGTACTCAGGGCGCAACCACCTGAGCCCTGGGCTCAACTGTACAGCGCACCCCTTTCTTCTGGAAGGAACCACAGAACGCTCACGTTGCTCTGTAACCAGCTGGCATGCTGCAACTGTCTGATACCCCACATATGAAAAAATGTCAAAAGTAGGCCTCACGTGGATATTCAGGCCCACCTTCACTTAGGGCAGGCACGAGGTTGCTGGGGGTCGCAGCCCAGAACACTTGCATGTCTGACAAGGGCCCCGCGACGGCTCATTCCTCGCAGATGTCTTGGAGGACAAGCCCGATAATTTTCAGTTCTGAATTTTCTCCATTTCGGATCCAGTTTGTAGTACTACTATTTTTCCCAGACCTTTTGGCATATGGTACTGAAGCTTTGAAAACACATATACAAATTTCCGTAAGCTTCGCCCTTTTTTTTTTTTTTTGGTTTTCCTTCACATTGCTTTTGCACAGAATGGAGAATGCTCTTATTGAGTGGGCTCAGCAACAGGCGGCCGAAGGCCGAGTTATCCAATAGGCATAAAGGCAGGATTGGTACCGCCGATAGTGACGCTTCGTGATGGTTGTGTGACCAGAGGCCACGAAGTGGTTCTTGTAATTTCACGGAAATCGTCATATACCTACAAGGACAACAGCTTCCCTTCGAGTCGCAGAGAGCAAGATGGCACATGCACAACCACCATGCTGGCATCCACCAACTCTCTCTCTCTCTCTCTCTCTCTCTCTCTCTCTCTCTCTCTCTCTCTCTCTCTCTCTCTCTCTCTCTCTCTCTCTC